TGTTTTCTCTCAGTGAGCAAGTTACCCTTCGGGGTGGTGGGGGGGGGGAGTTGTTTTCACTTTTTTTCTTGTGTTTCTTTCAGACAGAGTGAAGGGCCAGGAGTTCTTCCAGAAGAGAGGGAAGGGGGTGGGGGGACAGACAGTTCTACCCTTCCCCCTGCTCTCTCAGCTAGCCATCTAGTAGAGAGAGCAGCTCTCTTTTCTTGTTTTTCTTGGTTTTTTTCCTCCTTTTCCCCTTTGTGTTATTTTCCCTACTTCTCACAAAAACTTCTGTCTGTGTATAATTTGGGGGTACCTTTGGAGTATCCCGCCTTCCCCTGTTCAACCCTCTGTAATAAACTGTTCATTTGCTGCTAATTTTGTTCAGTTTTCCATCACCTTTACTGAACCTGCCCCTGAACAATAAAAGTGGTTTAAACCACCACACAAAACAAAACAACAGTGTTGGGTTTTATTCTATTTAACCTTTTTTTGAATACTCTTCATGTTTTCTCTCACTGTATATATAAATAGGGTGTATAAATATCCAACAATAATTTTTAATAAGGATTTGTATTACTTTCTTTGTAGGATAATGACTGAATATAATAGCACACAGAAGTTTTTGTTTTATCTATCTAAATTCTTCTGTTGGCAAGACTGACTTAGAATTAATATTCTTTGTTCAAGATAAATTGATGCTTCCAGTTTGATTTTGACTTTAGTTTGAGTTTGGGAAGTAGTGACCTGAAGATGCAAGAACCTTGTATAAATGTTGCCAGATCTTTAGATCTTCTAAAGGAAATTTGAGACACAGATGGCGTTAAGAGTTTGGATGTAGACCGTATTTTGTCTTCCCGAAATAGGAGCTACAGGAGTGTTGACTACAGTTGGAACTTACATTGTGAGCTTGTGTGGAGATACATGCCTCTAGGCAAGACTTAAAAAGTCATTCTCATGTTAGAACCTCAACTCAGTGTTGACACTGAGTGCTCTGAATTTTACCTTTAGTTATTCAGACAAAAATATTTTCTAAAGCAATTTAATGTGCAGTGTGAGAGTTTAATGTGTAGTATGACAGAGGATTTAGACCTGACTTATTTTCCCCTGAAATATACTCACAGACTGCACTTGGAGCTGCAGATCATTTTTCTCTTGTACCAGTTTCACCATTTTTTCCTCCAGCTCCTTCCTCTTTGCCTCAGACTTGGCAAGCTCTTCCTTGGTTTTCTCAAACTCCTCCTTCATGTTGGCCATCTCCTTCTCAGACTCTGCACTCTTCAGCAGGGGCTTGATCTTGAAGAACAGCTTCATCCAGGGCCAGTGCTTCACGTTCATGAAGGAGCGAACATTGTACTGGATGCAGAAGATGGACTCCCTGAAGCATAATTAAAATGTACATTGGATATTTTCATTTTGAGTGACAACACTTTCCCACAAGTGTAGTGACTTTAACTGAAGATGAAGAATGTCTACCTCCTCTCCACCATTCTCCGGTACTCCACTCTCATCAGGAAGCCCCTGCACATGGCCTGTGTACGGGTGATGAGCTGTGCCAGCTTCTCATCCCTCATCTCCTCCAGGAGTCCCAGCAATCCAGCTTTGAAGAACACCTTGAGAAAGGGAGCATTGCCACACATGACTCTCAGGCAGAGTGAAGCCCAGGCACACAGTGAGTGAGTCAAGGAGAGTTTGTACCTTGGTGTGGCCAAATTTGTACTGGGTGTGGTCCACATCAATTGAGCCAAGAAGCTTCTCGGAAGCCTTCTTGCTATCAATGAACTGTCCCTCTGGAATAGCACTGGCATTAAGCACCTTGTATCTGTGAATTGAGAGGAAATATGAATGAAGGCAATCTCAAGTCATAGAGTTAACAGTTTACTGCAATCAGTCTTTGGAACAGAATGATGCTGAGAAAGTTGGATTTTCATCCCTTGTTTAGACATACAGTTATAGTGAAGTCCTAATCTGATACCAAAGTTGTTGAAACTTTTACTGTCTTTAGGTGATGAATCACAAATTAAAAGAGCACACTGATCTCCAGCCATTTCAGTCCAACATATTTTTCACTTACACTATGCTGTAGAAAAATGCCAGAAGGGATCATTGCTGCTGTGTATAGTAAAAAAAAGTATCTTCCCCTGAAACTTGCAGCTTATACAATGGCCAAAGTACTTTATGTAGCTTTCTAATTTTTGTCCGAGAATGTGTTGTAGCTACATCCGAATCTACATTTTCATATTCAGAGACACTTGAAAACTTCATTTGTGTGATTAACTGCAATCAGTGAGGACACCTCACTTAGCTCTTCATTTCTCAAGAATTTATCTTTTATTAGCTATACATGTTGCCTTTTGTTGCCTATTCTAACATTTTGCCCTTTCTCTCAGTTACAATTGCATAGACTTGGCATTAAAAAATAGCTACAAGTGTTAAAATAGTGGAGATGTTTATCATATGCAGTAAAGACAAATGGAGAGCAGAAAGGAGACTGACCTCTGTTTGAAGTCTGCATAGAGGATTCTGCTGGGGAATCCCTTCCTGCAAATTCTGATGCCTTCCAGCACACCGTTACACCGCAGCTGGTGTAACACCAGTTCATGCTCCATAGCACCTAAGCAAATAAGACAATTATTTCATACTTCATGATAAAGCATGGAGAATAATGGCTGCATCACACTATGATTTCTCTCTACTTGAGGTTCTTACCAGGTGTTTTTGTTTCATTGGGGATGATACAGCGCACAAAGTGGGGATGAGTGCTCCGTAGATTGGTCATCAGCTTGTTTAGGTTCTCCTGCGGTTTCATGAGTAATGATTTTTCATTAACAAATGGTGTCTCTGCAGTTATACTGTCAGATGTGGGAAAAGTTTTGGAAAGCAATAATGGATTTATCAGTCCCACCTATACCCATCCTAATTTGAGTTTTGGGCATGAGAGAAAGTTACAAAATTGTGTCACGTGTTTTCATGCGATTGAGGGGTACAGCCACTTAGACAGAGCGTCTGTGGAGAATGGTGACTAGAAGTTTGTGGCAAAAGGCATAATTTGGAGTGAAAGATGATTCTTTGAAGTCACCAGATTCTTACTCTATGGAAGACATTGACTATTGGTGGAAAGAGAAACAAAACAAAAATAAGCAAAAGGGAAGATGGGCAAGGACCGAATTTTCATGGAAGGTTGAGAAAGGGAAGATTAACGGCATTAGGTACTACTTGTAAAAATAATTTTGTAAAGTTTGAGCTGAGGAAGACAAGAAAGACATCTCAGTTCAGTCACAAGTTGTAGAGAAAAGGTCTGAATATCTAGTCCTAAAGCACCTCTTCCTAGAAGTTTTTATAAAAGAAAACTCATGAACTATTTCTGGTTTTAGCAATCACTTTTACTAGCTATGTCCTAACAGTTCTCAGTTTAGACCTGATTTGGAGCAGGGGCAAAGCTGCTCTAACAAATACCTCTTTCACAGCATGAAAAACTGTTCAGGGTGCCAGATAGCAGCTAGATGCCACAGCTGCTGAAACAAGAGTGTTCCCACCTTCCTTAAGCTCTGTCAATTGGCAGAAAGGTATCTGGCCTTAGCATTTTCCTATTGTCTTGTCTTCATGTGTATAATCATATGCAGACAATTATGTGTTATGTATCATCATGTGCAAATGCGCATACATTTGTATGTGCTAATCAATGCTTGAGATTCCCTGAGGCAGTTAGCCAGATCCACCATTGTACTCCTAAGGTAGAAGGAGAGGGAGAAGAGCTTGAACACGTCACCAGTGTGCTCATGAGTAAATGAAACTGTAGCCTGACCAATGTACTTTTTCCAACATTCAAAGAAAGGGTAGGTCAAGCTATATCATCCATGTCTGGCCTTACATTACTTGCAGTCAGATCTTTTATGAATAATTGATAAAATGAGAAAAATGTTAATAGGTGTAGTAAAATGGTCTTGTTTGAGTTAGTGAGAGGTTTCACAATCTTCAATTAAAAAGAGAAAAGAGGAAAAGAATAGATAATGACTTCTATGCTTACTCTGAAAAGAGCTGATACTGTCTGGAAAGAAGACCCCTTCTTCTTGCCTCCCTTTTTGCCGCCACCACCACCACCGCTCTCTGAAGAACACACACACACACACAAAAAATAGTTTCACAACTTCATAAAATTTTGTAAAGAATTTGCAAAATTTTTCTCTACAACACTGCAAGAAGCAGTATCTTGGGGGGGGGGGGGGGTATACTGAATGCCAAAGATCCAATCTACCGGAAAGCTAGGGAGGGACTTTTTAGGCTATTGGGTAATGACAGGACTAGAGGGAATGGGGCAAAGCTCTCAGTGGGCAGATTCAGGCTGGATGTGAGAAACAAGTTCTTCACCATGAGAGTGGTGAGACCCTGGAATGGGTTGCCCAGGGAGGTGGTTGAGGCCCCACCCCTGGGGGTCTTTAAGACCGGGTTGGATGAGGCTCTAGACAGCCTGATCTAGTGGGAGGTGTCCCTGCTCATGGCAGAGGGGTTGAAACTGGGTGATCCTTGTGGTCCCTTCCAACCCTGAGAGATTCTGATCTGTTTTAGCAGAGGACTTTAGAGCCCTAATGGCTTAACGGTTGGACTTGATGATCTTAAAGGTCTCTTCCAACCTAAATGATTCTATGATTCTATAAAAAGCTTATTTGTGTCATACATGCTAAGAAAGGAACCTAGGATACAGCTGGCAACAGAGTCAGTGCTCAATCTAAAACAACACAGGACCAAAACTGTGTGATAATCCAAGGGATTACCATGGCTGAGTGGTACATGGGCTGAAATACATTTGATATTTTCCTTTATTAATAAATTCCAGCCATGGGGTACTCTGCACAACATGCAGTTTCTTTGGAACACTCTAACTGATATTCATGGCTCAGATAGTCATTAAATAAAAATGAGAACATGCATTTCAGATAACTGACCTGCCTCTCCTCCAGCAGAGGCAAAGAGTAAGGCCAATGTCTTCAGGGATGACTTCTGGTACAGCCCCACAACAGTTTCATTCAAGGGATCCTTGTTCTTGTCAAGCCAGCCAGTGATGTTGTAGTCCACTGTGCCAGCATAGTGCACCAGGGAGAAGTGGGCCTCAGCCTTGCCTTTGGCAGGCTTGGGCTTCTGGAAGTTACTAGACTTGCCCAGATGCTGGTCATAGAGCTTGTTCTTGAAAGAGGTGTCAGTTGCCTTGGGGAACATGCACTCCTCTTCCAGGATGGAGAAGATGCCCATGGGCTGAAAAAGCAGAAGTAAAGAGTTGAAAAAGCAGAAAGAATTACAGATAAAGAAATTGTTTCCTGAATGGGACAATATTAACACTCTCAGGGGTTGTTCTTCTGCTCAGCAGAGTTAACTGTGTAATAATCTAAATTAACGTATTTGCAACATATTTACACTTTCAAGCTACAGTTAAAAATATACAAAAATAATAATACATTTCTAAAAATATTAGACATTGTGAATTACACACTTACCTTCTCAATGAGCTCAATGCAGGCAGCCAGGTCCATCCCAAAGTCAATGAACTCCCATTCAATTCCTTCCTTCTTGTACTCCTCCTGCTCCAGCACGAACATGTGGTGGTTGAAGAACTGTTGCAGTTTCTCATTGGTGAAGTTGATGCACAGCTGCTCCAGGCTGTTGAACTGCGCAGTTACAAATACAGATTATTAATAATGCAAATGTAGATAGCTGACTTTCTTGTACCAAATTACAGAAGGATCTATGAGTGTTCCTTCTTTGCTCCGTCAGGAATTTGCAACTTCTTTCAGTGTGTCTCTTTAGTCAAGCTATACTTTATCCATATGTTTATTGCACCTAGAAATTTAGGCCACTTTGAGATTTGATAGTTTTTACTACTTGAGATTTGGTAGTTTTGATATCTACTAGACTGGGCTAATACACTTATAGGAGACTCCATTTCACAGAATTTTATCCAGCATTTCCAAATCCTGACTTCAAAGCATTGTGTCTATGGAACTGGTATGTCTGCATTAGGTGTCAAATGCCATGTTAGTCTACTGTCTGTAATCAGTCAAAAACCTGCATTTACGGATTTCTATTGGTGTACGTGCCCCACAAAAATCTATTCCAAATTAAAAACCTGTGGGAATCCTGATGCCTTAATTACAATCTGAAATGATAAATCACTTCTGCAAAGAAAAAAACAAAAAAACAACCCCCAAATTCCCAGAGAAAGGCATAATTTCTTCTTAAAGTACATTGGCACACAATGGAGTTACTTCCAAAAGCATGGTAATAAGACACTGTTCTTACATCAAAGATCTCAAAGCCAGCAATGTCCAGGACACCAATGAAGTACTGTCTGGGCTGCTTGGTGTCCAGCTGTTGGTTGATGCGAACAACCATCCACAGGAACATCTTCTCAAAGACAGCCTTTGCCAAGGCACCTACTGAATTGTAGACCTAAAATAAAATCCAGAAGGCTTGTAGTTATCACGGAGAGTAAAAGAGCAAGAGAAGATTTGTTAAAAAAAAAAAAAAAAAGTGAACTTTTTATACCTGCTGCACGGTTTGACCCTTGGTCACATATTCATTCCCAACTTTGACTCGGGGGTAGCAGAGGGCCTTGAGTAGATCTGCTGAGTTCAGACCCATCAGGTAGGCAGCCTTGTCAGCAACTAAGGAAACAAGCATACAGAAGAATCAAATATTAGCTCTCTGGTAGACATATCTTCTAGTGATTCAGAATTCAGATAAAACACAAGTATACATTAAGATTCCTCTAAAACAAGTGTTAAATGGCAATTCTAATAAAGGTAAAGGTTAATTAAGATAAAAAAGAAATGTATTTGTAGTTCAACATAAGCAACATTCACAAGTAATCATGGATCATTTATGCTGGGTATTTTTTCTTCACCTACTCTTAGTTTATGTTGAATTTTGAATGAAAAATCAGTTTAGAGACCTTTAGGTAGGCAGACTTCTCAATAATAAATGCTGGAGAAATTAAAAAAAAAAAAAAAAAGATTAGCCTGGGGCAGCATTGTGGACAGTCATGGGGTCGCTCAGAATCAAATACAAGGCAATTTGTTGCAGTGACTTGTGTCAGGGTAACTTTAAAGACCTCATAACAAAGAGCATAATGCATAACTTTCAATTATGCCTTTGTGAACTGAACATATTTGATAAAGCTAAATGTATTAGATGAAGGACTATTTTTAAAAGCGTATTCTCAAGCAAAAAGTTTGGCATTTCACCTTCTGCTATTACTTTTACATTTAATTCTAACTTCCAGCAGGCATGTCATATAAAATGGTTTGTTCAAGAAGTCTTATATATTTCCTCCAAAATGTCAATAAAAAACTATAGCAGAAAGCTACATGAATATTGGACACAATCAAACAGTCTAAAATTGTGTCAGAGATATTTAGGCTAGAAACTGGGGAAAAATTTCCAATGAGTAAGTACAGTGAAGTATTGGAATAGATTGTGTGTTTTCCTCAATTTTTCAAAAGCACATAAAGAAGGAAAGATTGGAGTAGACATGAGCTGGAAAACCTGAACTGCCATAGTCCTCTCCAAGCTTTATGACCAAATAAAACTATCAAAATAGAAGATGACAATGCCAAACTGAGAAATTTGTTCAGAGTATTCCTCTTCTGAGTTCCACAGTATCTGTGCAATGGAGCCAGCACCAATGGAATCAGTGTTAAGTACACATGTCCATACGTTTCCAAAATTCGGTTGGCAATCTACAAATTTTTGCAAAATTTGGTTGGCAAATTACCACTTAAGTAAAATTATTACTTTTAGTCGTACAGTGCTATTTGCAGAGCCCTTTAATGTGAGAAGCTTAA